TGGCATTTCTATAGAGCATTTAATCACTCCACTAGGCTCCCCTCACCCAGATAATAAAAGTTAGGGGCTGGGCATATTTGCTAGATTGTCACAGTCAGGAGTTAAAAGCTTAAAGTAAGACAAAAAGACAATGGACAATGCAAGAGGCTAGCATTCAAGGGAGGACTTCAGGGGAAAAAAAGAGAGCGAGAAAAAGATTCCCTCTCTGAAGATGGAGTGTAGGGAAATACGTTAGGAGTCAAAAAATAGTGTTTAGGGTTCACTCTGAATAGGTATTTCCAAGAGAGCAAAATAATAGTAGTCATCATCATCGCCATCATCATCACCATCATCATGGCAAATGTTAAGGACTCATCTATATGTCAGGCATTGTTTTAAATGTATTTCATGCATTAATTTATCTAATCTTCAATGACCCTGTTTGATAGCTGCTATTTCCGTCCTCCTTTAATGAGCACTGAAGTATAGAGGCTACATAAATTTCTCAGAGCCACAAAGCTGCTGAGTGGCAGAGCTGCTATTCAAATCCAGATGTCTTAACCCCACCATCAGGCTATGCTGCCTCTCTGGGAGTCAGTGTGGACCACTGGCCTGTGTCACTGACCACTTGAGCACAAGCTTACACTTCCACTAGAGAAAGCCAAACGTGGAAAAGTAAAATGGGAATCATAGCCCCAGATCTGGGTTGCTTGTTTGTTTTCTGCTCAATTCACCAGGGTCAGATATGGAAGAGGTTTTATTTTAAAATGTCTCTGGGGGCCCTTGGGTGGCTCAGTTGGTTAAGCATCTGACTTCGGCTCAGGTCATGATCTAATGGTTCATGAGTTTAAGCTCCATGTCAGGCTCAGAGCCTGGAGTCTGCTTCATATTCTGTGTATCGTTCTCTCTATGCCCCTCCCCAACTCATTCTCTCTCTCAAAAAAAAATAAATAAACATTTTTTTAAAAAGTTTAAAAATGACTTTGAGGTCAGCTTATGTGCACCTGCCACCACTGGTACTGCTGGCACCCAGGTTTGCCCTTTCCCACCCTAGGAAGACCAATCCAGTAAAAAGGAATGTTAAGGGGCACCTGGGTGGCTCAGTTGGTTAAGCATCCAACTCAGCTTATGATATTGTTGTTTGTGGGCTCAAGCCCCGTGTGCTGTGCTGACACCTCAGAGCCTGGAATCTGCTTTGGATTCTGTGTCTCTCTCTGTCCCTCCTCTTCTCACACTCTCTGTCCCTCTCTCAAAATAAATAAATAAACATTTTTAAAGAAAAGAAAAAAGGAAAGGCTCAGCGGGCACCCATTTCTCAGGCCTTGCTGGGAGGCTTGCCATTTGAACCACATGCAGGGAGGGACCTGGCCTTGCCAAGCGGCACCAGACCACAGCTTTCAGACTACTTAAAAATTAAAGAATCTTTTATTTTTTTAACTCTATCCTATGCAGGATATCCTGAGCAAATAATGTTTTAATAATACATATAAGACAACTGGTAATAAAACAAAATTAATACCTGTGTATATTGCCCCAACACAGGGGTCGAACTCACAAACTGTGAGATCATGACTTGAGCTGAAGCCAGAACCTGGAGCTTGCTTCTGATCCTCCCCTGCTTACAGTCTCTCTCTCTCTCTCTCTCTCTCTCTCTCTCTGTTTCTCTCTCTCAAATAAACATTTAAAAAAATCAAAAATATAAAAACCATTGTCAGCTCACAGACCATACAAAATCAGGAAGTGCGTTGGATTTGTCCCAAGGGCTGTACTTTTCTGACCTGTGCTTTAGACTCTAAGCTGCTTAGAGAAGAGGAAAAAAATTCACTCATCCTTATCTCCCATTGCCTAATGCAGAGTCTTTGTCAGGGCAGGAGCTCAATATCCATATCTTTAATGTCAGAATAGTCAGAAGTAATAATTCCTCCCTGTGAAGATCTGGGTATATATCATGAAGTTCTTTGCCAATCTGATTTGATTTCTGATGCAAATTTCCATGTTTCTAATTCTTGCACCTTAACTTCAATCTCATTTCCGGGTGTAGGGCAAATTTTTTCTTGCCTTTGTAATTGTCTCCTAACTGCTAGTTTCCATAGAATACTGGCTTTTCTACTTTAAACTTTGTGTCATTCAGTTTGGGCCCAGTGGCTACATTCGTAAGGGCACCTGCTCCGGAATTTCTCAGGCCATCTTGTTTTCAAAGATGCATGTGTGTGTGTGTAACAAGAAGTCTTGCCTTCGCAGGTCCAGGTCACAGAGGCCCACAGTGGGTGGAAAGTGCATGCGCTAACATCCTTAGATTTGTCTGGAGCTAGGAGACGAGTACAGATGTGTGAGGTGGGTGCAAAATTGCGAAAGAACCTCTGTTAGAGAAGAACTGAAAGAACTGACTGGCTAAACACTGTAACTCTTAGGGCTCAAGCAACCTGAACTCCATGTGTTGGAGAAGGAATGCATTCAGTCATGACAGGCCGGTGTCTCAGAGTACAGGGCTCCATTCCAGGTGCACCAACATCATATCCAGATCTCCAGCTCCACCAGCATTGAGGCTATGCACATAGAGGCAGCCACAGAAATGGAAACAAAATTTTGTCTCAGAACAGCTACTCTGTACATTGAGACCAAGTCTACAGAACTCTAGCTTAATCAACAGAGCAACAAGCTATGCCCAAGAGTGATCAGCAGACGCATGGGAGACACTTCAGTGCTCCCAGGAATTCTTACGGTCAGAGTGTATGTGATCACAAATGCATATGATTGTGAACTGACAGAATATCAACCATAGGCACATGCCTGCTGTGTAGCAGCTCTCAATAAGCCTCTGCTGATAGAACGATTGATTACTATCTATGATCAGTATTTTATCTGTTTAGTCTGTATCATATCCAGTACCTAAAATCATGCCTGGCATACAAATTGCACTCAATAAGTATTTGTTGAATGAATAAAAGTTGAATTTGTGCCTTTTCAGTTCATTTTACTGTTTTCTATAAATGTGATTTATTAGTGAGAATACCTTTTAAAGATGTAAATAAATTAATGAATCGGGGAAAAGTCCTTTGTCCTACGTCCTGATTTATGTTTTAAAACATGTGATCACTCTTCCTAATGTCATTCCTATGATCCACTTTCCTTTGAACCTGCAGCTACCATTATCCCCTTGTACAGGAGCTTATAAATTAGACCAGCCCTCCGTGGATAACAGTGCTGACGATGTTTGAATATCCATTTAACAGCAACTAGCGCTGGCGTTTTCTTAATGTGGTTTCTCTTGTAATTCTGACAGCTTTATGAATGCTCCAGTAACTTTCAGCTAAATCATCGCAGAGTTTCAATTTCCATCTTTAAGCCCTGCAGATAGATCTGTAACCATATTATGCTAATAAATAACTGCATCACAGGTGGATGGTGGAAAATGGTCTAAATGAACGTACAAGGTAATAATGCCAGTCCTCACGCTTGCGCCAGCCCTCATTCACTTATTTCCTCTTCAGTGATCAAAGGCATATAAGCCAATTAAAAATCATATTGGTAAATGGTACTGACATAATTTCATTCTTGCTGTTTACTCTTGAAAGGACAGCATTTCCGGTGAGTCAGTGCTCTCTGGGCAATTTCCTACCAACATCACAAAGCACTGGGGGAGAGGAGCAGGAATATGTGGGTGGCTGTGTTTCTCAGCTACTGGAAGAGAAAAGACATTCTGCACTTACTGTTTAAGGAGCTGACTGCATTTGTGGACCCAGCTTCTCTATGTCTTAATATTCCCATTTGAAAAATAAGAAACTCTGCCCCTGAAGGGATGCCATTAAACATTACCGAAAAAATCTGAGATATATATTATTTGCTGGGTAGTCTTCTATTTATTTTAGAGAGACTTGCTTTAAAACTTACTTTTTCATTCCATAACACTTCAGAGTTTCAGATAGCCAACTGGATCAATTCAAAGCTTTCTATTTTTAACAGAAAGGGGGAAAAACAAGAAACAATGAAGTGTGTTATGAACAACAAAATGTACCATATAGATGACTTTCTTCGAGATCTCTCATTCCCAGGCTTGGAATCTACCAGGAAAGTTGTTGATAAGTTTCCATAATACACTATGTAATCTCTGTCCAGGAAACTATTCTACTCCTTTAGTTCCCAGTGCAGCTTGCTCAGACTCGCTACAATCTCCAGTCTCCTTGCACTGAATTCAAACCTCTGCTGTCCTAAGGACGAGAAACTCATCGACAAGAACTAGTTGAACATCCAGGGGCACATTCTTGAGCCACTGGAGAATGCATCTTCAGGGTCATTGGTTCAATGGTGGCCCCCAAAAGATATGTCTATGCCTTAATCCCTGGAACCTGTGAATGTGACCGTATTTGGGAAAAGAGTCTTTGTAAGTAGAATTAAGTGAAAGACCTTGGAGATTATCTTTGATTAGTGTGGGTCCTAAATCCAATGATAGGTGTCCTCACAACAGAAAGGCAGGGTGAGGCTTCAGATACAGAGAAACACGCAGAAAGCCATGTGAGGATGGAGGCCCAGCAGAGTTGGGGAGCGTCAAGCTAAGAACATCTGGAGCCTCCAGAAACTGAAAAAGACAAGGAAGTGTTCTCCTCGCTACACCTCAGAGGGAATGGGACTCTGAAAACACCTTGATTTTGAACTTTTGGTCTCCAAAACTTTGAGAAACTGAGTTTCTCTTGTTTTTAAGCCACCTAGTGTGTGGTCATTTTGCACATCAGGAAGCGGTAGGAAAGCAAAATAGAATCGGACACCAGCTTCAATGTTTCATGCTTGAAGACATGTTTAGGATTTGAATCTCATGGATTTACCAGAATCCTTTCTGTTTCCACAAGCAATTTCCCAATTCTAACCACCATCCCCCTACTATGCCCTGCCCCAAAGAAAAACAATTCTTTCTTGTATTTACTTTAAGCATGCTAGCACTTAATGTTTCCAAAAGAACATAGCTAAGAATTACTGACAATTTATTGCTGATAATTAAGTTGGTTAATTGTTTCTCTAACCCTTGGGTGGTCCTTCTTGTCCTCTTATTTAGCATGTAAAAGATTCTGTTGTCATAATATTTCTAGTTGCTCTTCGATGAATCAACAACTCTAGGAGAGAAGAAGATTTAGACTGAAGAAGTAAGAAAGTGCAAAAGACCAATTTCATCCAATTCCTGGCCTTGAGCATTTGGATTTCCAGTAATATTATTACAAAACTTGGTGATTTCCATATGTTGCCATAAATGTCCTGTCACATACACATTTCGGTGTCCATAAAGAGACTTCATAAGGAAAGCAGGCATGATTTCCACCCCTTTGGGTAGTGAATAATGAAAGTCTTCTTCCCAAGGATACATTATTGCCAAAAGTCAAAGCGCAGAAAACACATTTCTGGGCTGGAATGGAGAAATCACCTAATCAAAGAACTCTTGACAGTTGCTTACAAACAAGCATGTCTTCTAGGCCCAACGAGAAACCCACTGGAAACAACTAAACCACAACCTCCAAACCACTTAATTGGATTTCCAACTGTTATTCTTTTTTTTTTTTTTCTAATGTTTTATTTATTTCTAGGAGAGAGAGAGAGAGACAGCATGAGCAGGGGAGGGTCAGAGAGAGAGGGAGTCACAGAACGAAACAGGCTCCAGGCTCTGAGCTGGCAGTCCGCACAGAGCCCGACACGGGGCTCGAACCCACGAACCGCGAGATCATGACCTAAGCGAAAGTCAGACGCTTAACCGACTAAGCCACCCAGGCACCCCTCCAACTGTTACTCTTAACTTCATTAACAAAGTAAAGCAGAGCAAAACAAAACTCTAGTTAAACAGGGCTACCTTCTGCTTATACATCTTTCAGACAAGACATGTAGCATTTCCCCAAATATGTCCCACATTCTGTCTCCTCGCCTTTGCTCTCCCTCTGTTTTTCACCAGGAACACCACTGTGACTTCTCCTGTGTCTATCTAATGAAATGCTACCCCATCCAACATCTGGCTCAAATGCCACCTCTCCCAGAAAGACGCCCCTCAGCTCTGGTGTCCCAGGGGGGTACAACACCTGCCTTTCAATCCCAGACCACTGGCTTGTATCTTCTTTACTCCTGCCATTCTTTTCATGCTCCTTTGAATATCGTCACACCTGGGAGATCCTGGGGAAAGGGACGGAGGCAATCTCTTACCCACCTGTGTGTGTGACTCAATACATATCCCATGGTAGACTCAAAAGAAATAGCTACTGAATGAAAGAAAGCCAAACAAAATCATTACACTACTCAAAGGTATTCACAGAGAATCAATAATCCTGGGCCCCTTTTCCCTCATTCATACTTCATTGAGGATATTATATATAACACTCAATCATCTCTGATTTCTACCCACAGGAAATAGAATGGATGGCCCGCATTCTCCTCTAAACCTCTTTTCCAGTTGGGGGAAATGACTGTCTCTGATCACCTTTGTTGTTCCTGTACTGCTTGTGTCACACAAAATAACAAGCACTTATCAGTGTTTGTGAATATTGGACTAAGAAACTTTCTAGCCAATAAGAATCAGTATATAGAAGCACACAATTGTTTCCTGATACCTTACTACCTTGGGTCCCCACAGCCTTGCCAAATCCTGCAAATCTCCCTCAAGACCATTCTCTACAACTCATCTTTCCATTTCTCCTCACACTGCCACGGTCCTTTCCCTTGCACGCTGTGATGTCCTGGAAGGAAGACTTGGCTTCTTAAGGCACAATTTGTCATGTTCATTCACCTGTTTATTGGAAAATAGCTTCCAGGGGTTACATATCTGACCAAATCGAGTCAAAACTTCTCATCTTGTGTCAGAGATGTTCCACTGACATGCCTTGGCCAGCTCTTGCAGGATTTTCACTATTTCCTGTAAGAAACTCTAGGCTTTTGTCAAACTAAGCATTATTCACTTCCCAAATATTCCAGAACTTTCCCATCTCCCTATATGTACTCAGGTTGACATTCACCCACAGTGCCCACCGCACCTGTGTGGTTACAAGCACCCACCTGTGCTTTAAGGCCAGCCCATGTGTTACCTCTATTTTTATACCTCCCTCAGGTGCTGCAGCCAGGAAAGATTTTCTGACCCTTTTGTATTGTGTTTATAGCATAGCACCTATGTGGCCCTTAATTTCCTTACAGTAGAGTTGTGCAATTCATTTACAAGCCATTCTTTGAGGCCTACTCAACCCCCCAGGCACTGGGCTGCAGGCTTATCTCCTCTATGCCCTCACCCCTAGACTTTTCCCCAGCACCTTTACCCCAAGGGCCCAGGCACAGTAATGTTCCCAGGGAGTATTTGCTGAATGAAAGAATAAATTAATGTATAAGCCATGTATTTGTTCTCAAGCAAAAAAAAAAAAAAAAAGCCAGCTTTGATTATTGGAGAAGGAATAGAATCAATAGAGTCTTTACAAAAAGGAACTAATAAATAGTCCTGGGGTATAGCGCCATCACTTGTGCCTTCTCACTGTCCTCTACTTGCCGTTGGAGGAAGGACCACATGGGAAGACAGAAGACCTTCCTCAGCCATGGCCCCCAAGCCTTGGGAGCTTCACTGCACCACGACTGGGTGCTAAATATCATATACCTAAAGTCACAGTACATCTCTTCCCTCCCCCTCCCATCCCCTCTGGCTTTGCTGCCACCCCCACCCCCTCTGTGGCAAAGGAGGAAGCAGTGGGGCGGAGGAGACAGGATCTGCTAACAAAGCAGGTCAAACAACAGACCTAAAGCGTGTGGTGAGCCACGGGGTGTGGCAAAGGCAGCAGCAGAAACACCAAGAATGTCTGCCCCTTGGCTGCCACTTGGCCGGTTCCCAAGTCTCCAGGGAGGTCTGCCCCTTGGTTCTGGACTGTGGCCTCAAGCCTCCTCTCTGACCTCCTCATCACCGCAGGCTCACAGAACTCAGATTCCTCCTGGCGGGCAGCAAGGCCATGGCGGCTGCAGTGGAGGGCTGTGCCCAGCAATCCACACTGGGGCAGAACAGACCGAGGTGGTGGTTACACTGGGTTTTCTCAAGCCCTGAGCAAAGGCAGTGGGGAGGGGACCCATCTCCTGTGTGGACAATGATGGTAGAGAAAAGGGGCCATAGAGCAGTTCTGGGGACCTGGGCCAGATAGCAGGAAAAGGACTTAATCAGGCTGTGGAGGGGCGGGGGTTGGCACGTGATGTGGGACCAGTACCAGCTGAGTATGGGGCAGTAAGTGCAGGGTCAGACTCGTGAGACACTGGATCATCTCCTTATTCGTGCCCCACCATCCCTGGGCTAGGAGACACCAGCCGGGGACACACGGGTCATGGTGCCTTAGTTTCTCATGACTGGAATCCAGGCCCTCTTAAAGACAACTGCCGGGGAGCCATGAGCCAGGTCTAGGGAGAACACAACCATCTAGTTCTGCTGCATGAGAAATTCTGCCGGAGGAAGAGAGGAAGCAGAGAAGACCTCCAAGAAGGAAAAATGCCCAACACTGGTATACAGGCAATGGGGGACTGCTCGGCAATGGGAGGGGATGAAAGAGCTTTCTGGGCCATGGCGGTAGCAGAGCTCAGCAGGGAGCTCCACTTGTCCTTGGAGGAGAAAGCCTTCCTCAAGCAAGGATAAGAAGACAGATGCTGCATGGTCCAAAAGAAGATGTGTCCCGGGGACAGGGTAGACAAGGAGAGGCAAAGTGGGCCTCAGTGATGGAAGATCCATCCTAAATTGGGTCTGGGGTCCAGATGAGGAAATATCCTCAGCTTTCCAGACTTGCCTGAGACATGTATTAAAATACAGATCCCTAGATTTCTCCCACAGAGACTCTGATTCTGTAGATCTGGGCTTGGGTCCTGGAACTATAAACCACTAGGAGCTATTGAAACATAAGCATCTGGATGAATGAAACCTGGTTAGGAGGCGATCACAGCAAATACAGCAACAGTGACAATCATAGTAATAACTATATGCCACGCATGGTTGTAAACTCTGTTACCTGTTTGATCTGCATATCAGCCGAATTAGCTCCATTTTACAGAAGGGGAAACAGAGGCACCAAGAGGTTAAGGCCCTTGAGTAAGATAGAGTGGCAGCGTCAGATGGGACCCAGGAAATTCTGTCTTGAAAGCCTGTGCTCTGAACCACTCTGTCATTCTGCTCCTTGAGGTTGGACAGGGTCCTCTGGCCTATGATAGGCGCAGGGTTATGTCCTCCTCTTGCAATGTCCTCTGGGTGCACAGTGTCCCCTTCACATTAGATCACCTCCTCCACACTTCCACAGTCCAGCCGTCTGTCCAGTTAGGTGGAATGTGATGGAACCATCCGGCACTTCCTTTCAGCTCTGCCTTCCATGCCTGTTAGCTGAGAAAAACTGAAACTGCCTCTGGAACATGTGCTATTTTTTCTTTCTGATGTTAATCTAAACAGGTTCCTTATCTCCTTAGGCCAACTGATGGTGCAGCTCTGACAGCAAGTAGTCTGGGAATTAGGCTCCAGAATCTAAAGATTATACCAAACCCTACTTATCTGGGTCAGACACTTGCCCAGGTTTTTAGGCTGCAATTTGGGTGGTTTCCCCCTCGGGGACATCTTTAGGACTCCTTCCCATCCAAATGCATTCTGCTGAAATCCTTGGCTTTCCTCGGGTTTCTGCCCTGTCTTTAATCTGAATGTTCTCTTTAGCTGGCCTGCTCATAACATGACCCTAAGGAATTCAAAAGTGGAGGTACCTCCATTAGGAATTCGTGATTCTTGGTTTACCATTAGAGTGGCTCAGGAGTGAGGAGAGCAACACCAGACTTGGGAACAGAAATGCCTGACAGAAGTCACTTATAGATGCTTTGGGGTCAAAATGGGAATGTCCTTCAGAAGCTTCGATGAAACTGCAAGGAGATTCATTCTTTATAAGTAGCAAAGCACCAGCATTTCCTATAGTCCAATAAATCCTCTCTAAGGCCAGGCCAGTTTGTCACAAAACACAAAACAAAAAACCCAGCAACCTGGTGCAGGACAGGGCTTGTGCCCCATCTCATCATCTCTCACCTGCTTGGGGAAGGACGCCAGAATCTAAGTGTCAAGACCTCACCTAGCACGACTGTGAGTCAGAGGCCAGATCACGCAGCAGAGCAGTCCAGGAAACCCTCAGACACCTTTTCTTCAGAGTTAACCTGTCCTTGAACAGTTAGGGGAGGCTGGGAGGAGTGTCATTCTGACCATAAATATAATAAAGTGGACGGCGGGTACATTGCTAGGAGGATCCTGGAGACCTTGTCCCCTCCAACGCAGAGGCAGGACAAACTGGGTCATTGCATTGCAGTGGCATGTGGGATGCAAAGCCAGAGCACAAATTACGATGGTGCTCGCAGCTCTAGCCCACTAAACATCAGCACGGTGGCGACTGCAAAACACCTATGCCTGGTGTGGATGATATTTTGAATGTTTATTAGGCTGGTCTGGGGCTGTTGTCTGTTTCCTAAGAGCAAAATTGTCTCATGAAGTTCTCCACAATTGCATATATGAATTTGGAATATGAATACTAATAAAATAAAGTGATACACCTTCCACTAAAACTTTATTTGTAGATTTTATTTTCTGCTTACAGGAACATTGATGTGAGTGCTTAGGTCTTTGCTGCATTTAAAGTGCCTCTTTAAAAATCTCATCTGGAGCAAATATTCCATTAACGTTTTGTAGTATTTGGCTCCGTTCCTTTGTGTCTTCGTTGTTTGCCTCCCCGCTTCAAGGGAGGGATGGGAAAGGGGGAAAAGGAAGGCAGAGTTCTGGCCATCAAAAAGGCAATGCATACATCATAAGGCAACAGAACAGGATGAAACAGACAGAGCCCAGCAAGATAAATTCTTGTAACAGCAAAGGCAAATCTTGTGGGAAAATTTCACTCTTCCCATAGTCCCCAAACAGCAACCACCAAATCTTTATTTTGATTATTTTTTGTATTTATAGCCATGTTCCACAATGGATTTTAGGTGGCTTCGAGGAGCTATTGTGATTAATTTATTTTGGTAGTTGACAAAACCATCTCTTGGAGTTCCCAAATATTTGGCCAAATGAATTGTGCTTCCTGGGATCTTGGCAGAATGGATCCATCTTTCCAAAGCAGTTCTGATGACCAGGTCAGTCCTGGTCAAGGGCTCCTAAAAATAAAACTGACCATTTCGCTGGAGTCATCCCAGAGTTTGGGTGAAATATTTCATCACACAGAACCCCTGAAGGAAGCCCATCACTGATTTGTCTCCTTTCATTAGAGCTATTTGAAAGTTTGTGTAGTGTCTCACCATATATATACCAATAGCTTAGGAAGGCAAGGAGCCTTGGTGGGGTTCATACCTTCCCCACAAGCTCTTTGCAGGAAGCCCAGACAAAGGGGACCAGAGATCACTGCTTCCTGAGGCAAGGCATTGTCACAGAACTACAGGGCAGATTAAAGCCTTGCTCTACTCTGGTCCTAGAAGAAGATCTTGAGAGCCCCATGTACACAGCTGAGATCTGGTGCCTCTTAGCTACTATACTACATGGCTCCATAGAGAGAAGAAAATATGCACAACAGAGCACTTGTGGAGGGCAAGGTAGCAGCACATTGACCCTAAGTCTTAACACAAATAGTCCCAGCAAGTGTCAGAATCAACCCAATTATGCTAAGCAACTTCCACCGAGGAAAAAGGGCAAGGTACAAAGGTGGTGCAGTAACAGGCTGGGGGCAGTCATGGCTGGGAGCATGTCCCCCACTCTATGTGGCCATTTGCACTAGTAGCCTTGGCTAATCAGAATGTAAAAGATCCTCAAAACCATATAAACACAAAGTTTATAAGCCTAAAACTGTGAGGTCCTTGATGTCACCTCTGTTACTTACCCAGACTTACCAGGCATGCTATTGTTTCCTCTCCTACTGCAAAGTCTGCCCAGAGATGGGATGGGGAGGTGGAGGCCAATCACGGCAGAGCTCACACCACTGGAGCACTTCTTCCAGTCATCAATATTCAAGCTCTATGAAAAAAAAGACATGTGGGGTGCCTGGGTGGCTTAGTCGGTTAAGCGTCCAACTTTCGCTTAGGTCCTGATCTCACCATTCGTGGGTTTGAGCCCCTCGTCGGGCTCTGTGCTGACAGCTCAGAGCCTAGAGCCTGCTTTGGATTCTGTTTCTCCCTCTCTTTCTCCCCCTTCCCTGCTCACGCTCTGTCTCTCTTCTCTTTCAAAAATAAAATAAACATTAAAAATTTAAAAAAAAAAAATGACTTGTCTGTGTGGTTTAGGGCTAGTAATAGCAAAATGCCCGGCACCTTGTAAGCAATCAATGGTATTTTCTGAATAAATGAATGAATGGAGTCTACCCTCAAGAGAAACCTAAAAAAACTACTTCAGGGTATCTTCCATTGCTGTATTTATGGTTTGAAAAAGAAAATTCCATGGACTGGATCATAGAATTCAAATGATGTCTGAGCTTCTAGGAGCAGAAATGAGTATCGTGAGACAGCTCAGCCAGGCCACCATAGGAAGACGGCAGTGAGCAAGGCAAGAGTAAATCGCGTGGTATCACCAGGAGAATCCGGATGCACCCACAGTCCTAGAATGCTGGCTCTTAAAGGGACTGTCGATGTCATATCCTCCATCTTCCCTGTCAATGAAAGGACTCCTTCTCTGTAGGTTCCCTCCAAACAGAATAGGATGCAACAGAACTACCCAGGGCAGTTTTTAGGTCGCAAATAGATAGTAAATGAGCATCCCTCACCCCCCAAAATCAGAATATCAGAAGGATATCAGTATAACCAGAAGGAATAATATCAAGAGGGTATTATCTTTAGAATGTTTAACTCATTTGTTCAACAAATATTTATTGTGTCCAAACTCCCTCAGTATAAAAGAGTGGTTGAGACCTAAACTCTGACCCCTAGAATAAGGTACCACTTGCATATGTAAAGCACTCCACTGTTAACACGCAATTTGATTTGATGTGATGGTATGGCGACATCAGAAGTTGCCAGTAAGGAGAAAGTGGCTTCCTTCTAAGGTCCTAAAACCCAACCACCCAGCATGCCTGGAAGTTTTCCGTCAAAGGGTAGCAAATATTCATCATCCTGCAACCCTGCGTCCTCTCCCTTTGCCTTAGTCCTTCAGATCGATAATATAATCATGCTCTAGTCTGCAGGTTTTACATTTTCTATTATTCTTGTTGATTGCCACTCAATTTTTAAAGTTTATTTTTAACTTAATGGTTCTAGTGGATTTTCTGGTTCATTAAAGATTTTGGTTTTATGGTAGACTTAAAGGAACAGAAGAATATAATTTTATCTGATTTTCTTTCCTGACCTACAAATCTTAGTTTGACAATATTTGCCAAGGGTGATTTTTTGTAAGTGAGTGTGTTCCAGGGACCATTATTTCCATGAATGTATAAAGTTAGGTACAAAGAATAAAATTCTCTTTTGTGAAATAACAATTTGGGAGTCTGAGGAGATTAGGGTGATTCAAGGTGTGAAAATGGAGGGAAATCAAGCAAAGTAGGAAAAACTCTGTCTGGTTTAACTGCCATCTCTATGACACTGGGTAGGCCACCTGCCTTTCCTGAACTCCAAATTTCCCATCTGCTAAAAAAAAAAAAAAAAAAAAAAGTGATGGCAAGATTCTGGATAGTACGTGCAAGCACTGGAAGTCCAGCTAGCAGCAGCTATCACGGCAGCAAGTGCATGCCATGAGGCAGCCACACTCAGGAGCTGCAGGGCGGGGGTGTCAGGCTTGTCTAGACACTGGCTTTCCATGTAGGGTGATGGGCACCTCTACTGCGGCGATGCTAATATAGACACTCCTCTGGCAGTTCTGAAGACTAAGCTGGGGTACTCAGCAATGGGGCGTGAGGTCTGTCTCAGTCTCAGAGGGCTAAAGTGCACCTTCTAGACCAAGGGACCCATTTGGGGGGCACCTGGGTGGCTCAGTCGGTTAAGCGTCCAACTCCTGACTTCGGCTCAGGTCATGATTTCACAGTTCATGAGTTTGAGCTCCATGTCAGGATCCACAATGACAGTGAGAAGCCTGCTTGAGATTCTTGTTCTCTCCCTCTCTCTGCCCCTCCCCTTCTCCCCCCTCTCAAAATAAACTTAAAAAAAAAAAAAAAAAAAGACCAAAAGGCCCATTTGGTAAACAAGGCCAGCTGCCTGAGGAGGAGCAAACACCCAAACACCCACCTTCTAACTCGCCTAACCCAGTGCTGTTCTCACTACACAACAAAACTCGCGTCTGCTACCCTTGTTATCCTCAGCCTTGAAAACAGGTGGGAAAACAAGATTGCTACCCAGCTTTTGTTCTTTGATATTTTAACAGTGCCCCCCTGCAGTGTGGGCCCTCAGCTCACACTGTTCACACAGAAACCTCTAGCACATTTTGGGAGAGGCCAGGGTGTGAGCTCTGGAGAGTGACAGCCATAGTACAGGTTTCACCAACTCCCACACCGGGCTCAGCCCAGGCTGGCACGAATGTCAGTTTGTCCTGGGACCTTGCTTGTGCTGCTGCTTCTGCCGTTCCATCTAGGAAAGCAGATCTTCAGGTGGAGCACAGACCTCACTCTTTCCAGTCCTAACCCCAGTTCACAAACACCCTCTCCACACACTTTCACGTTCAGGTGCCGATTCGCTCCCCTGAATTCTCCAAACAGAGTCTCTCCTGCTGTCCCCAGATCCCACAGGTCTGAATGCATTTTTTAGAGCATCTCTCTTTGGACACCCAAGAACCTGCCTTTGACCCCTTCTGAAGATGCCCCAAGGGAGCCTATGGTTAACCCAGCCCTGTAGCCACTGTCTTCAGCTTATTCACATGTCCTGCCCCGGCCTTTCAGAACATAATCCATGTCACTTTCTAAGACTGACCAGGTCTGGGGTCTTCCAAACAGAAGGTCTGTCTCTTTTTTCAATTTTCCTTGTCACTTGTCTGCAGCATCTCTCCATCTCAGAACCTTGAAACACAACCTGAGGCTCAGTTAGGCACAAAGCATTCGACTTTACTATAAAAGTGTAGACTTTCTAAGGGAAAAACTCTCTTCAACTATATAAAAGTAGATAAATCACAGCCATGCATTATCTAAAACCAGAGGCTTGGAATCTGTTTCATCCCATGTTCTTTTCTCATCCTCACCCTCTCCCAGCCTGTGCCCATCCCCCCACACGTAGCCCTCTTCAACACCCCAGCAAAACATAGCATCTGCCATAATGGTGTGGGCCAGTGTGAATGCACCCTCCTCTGTGTCTGGTTTCTCTGCATCTTATCATCCAGTTGAGGCTAGGCTGCATTCCAAGTCACTCTGACATTTGGAGAAAGGCTCCTCCCCCTGCCTCCCACAGACTTCTCCCTGGGTTCCTCTCTCCACCAACTCTCAGTCTCCCCCTCCATCTCCTAAACTACTCCAGATTGTCTCTGCAAACTTGCCTTTGGTCACTCTTGACCATCCTGCAAACACGGGCACATCCTAGAGCTTTCAGGTCCTAGGCTCTCAAAAATGCCTTCCCTTCTGTTCATCTCTGCCCCATGTTAGATAGGGCCTATGTCCAAGCTCATTATCAGGGTCTCAGCAAGTTTCCCCTCTGGGGAGACAGAATCTTGGCAAGGGGAGCAAAGGCTGGATTTCAACCCTGACTTGCCCCTAGAGTGGGCTCCTTAAGTTCCATAACTGTAAACAGATGCTCTGCTGAAGACATATACTTTGACTATTAGACAAGGAAGAGACCACAGGAAGGGGAGTCCCCAGGAGTTTGAGTTACACTCCCAAAGTCACACATCAATTAGAGGAGCCAACTCAGAACTATAGCCTATGTCTCCTGAGTCTTAGGCGTGGGCTCCTTGCACTATTCCACAAATGCTGGCGATCACTGTGCTTCCTTGACATCATTAGCACACTACCCTCACATGTAAATTCAGAGAGGTTTCTGCCTCAGTCAGATTCAAGCCACAGAGCAGCACAAGATGAGGGATGGCATTTCCAAGATTCCCATTCATGGATTACATCCACGGTAGTGCTGGTTGCAGTTTACCTGGGCCTGACCCTGAGGTGTGTGAAATCCTTAAGAAGAAGGAGGTTGAGAGAGGCCAACATGGCAGAGAAGTAGGGAGATCCTACTCCCTGCATCTCCCAAACAAAGAAGGGCTAAAGGCAAAGGGCTCTGAACCCCAAGAGTCTGGGGGGAAAGGAGACGGAAGCTATAAGGAAGGAAACAGGAAAACCAGGCAGCCCAATAGGTGCGTGATTGCGAACTGGGGGAGATAAAACGGGCTATGGAGGCACAGAGGACAGGGATCTCCTTCTGCGGAAAGACAAAGGAAGAGAAAGACCAGTTGGGGGAGCGTAGGTCTGTATCTGGACAAGAGACAAACCTCTGACCGGGATGGAGAGGGATCCCATCATCCCATCTCTAACTGCAGAGCTTTTTTTTGGACTGGAGCCGGATACCCTGTTCATATACCTGGGGAAGAGGGGAGTCACCTCCGGGTTCAGTGGTACGTCAGGGGCACAGTCGGCAGCAGGAGAATCCAGTCCCCTCTCCCGAAGCGCTGCAGCACAGCCAAGGGATTACATTTCGTCAGCATCATTAAAGCGCACAGAGCAGGAGTTTAAAACGCAGCTAAGTGTGGGACATAGGAGACGGCGGAGCGAGACAGCCACCTTGACTGCATCCCCGGCACAGTGAGGATGGATCCAAAGGAGTGATTTGGGACACCTGTTCTGTGAAGAAGGGACTGGAGGGTCGCCATTTTTCTCCCCACAACCTCCAAGGCAGGGCTTCAGGGGTTGGTCGGTGGGGCCCACAGCGGAGGCGGGGCCCTGACATCAAACCACGCCCCTCGTTGCTAGACAGCCGCTTCTCTACTGGAGCTGCGGAGATGCTACAAACCAGACCAGCACTATGGCATTGCCTGGATTAACTCTAGGTCAATTCTTGTTATTCAGATATACTCTGCCCTTTCTCTTTCTTATCTCTTCCCTCATCTAGGCTGATCACTTTGGT